TAAACCGGCCACTTGATAATGGGAACCAATCAGCAGCTACCAGCTCTCCAATCAGAAAGAGGACCTTAAAGGCACAGAACACACATATGGAGCAAAATCCAGACACCTTGATTCAAAATATAGACAGGCCCGTAACAGTAGCTGAATTAAAACTATTTTTTAAAGAAAAGCAGGACAAAATTCCTCCACAGTGATGTTAAAGACTTACAAAGGCTTGATTGCAGTTTTTATTTGATTCACTGTGGTGTTTCCAGAATAAGTAACGTTAGAAGTCTCATCATTTAAGTCTATAATCTTGAAAGGACCAAAGGTTAAACTTGGTTTATCTGTTTAATCACATCTCTCCAGTTATTGCTGGAGGCAGGCAGAGGCCAAGATTTACCTGTTGTTACTGTATGTGTGCTGATCGTACACCTGAGCTCACTTTCCAGTAATTTTCTATCAAAGCAATTACAGAGGTGGGTGAGCTAAAAGAGTAGTTACCGTAAGTTTATGATGGCTTTAGAGCCTCGGAGAATTCACTGGTGATGAATAGCGAGCAATCACATTGAAACACCGTGTTATTATATGCATGCTTTCAGTCCTCTGGGTGGAGATTTATATTAGTCTTTCTCTTGTGTAGATTGGTGCGCCCCCTCTGCTGTAATCCCCAGTCAAAAGCTGCCCTCTGAATGGTAAATATGCATATTGTATGGGAAGATGAGACATTGTTTTATGCAGCACTTCTGCTGCTGGCAGAGTCACCGATGCATAAAGCTTATCTTAAAGAACATGAAGTCAGAGCAGACCCTTTGATGTGTCCTCTCTACCATGAGCCAGTGATCAGTTTGTGGTTTATGTTCAAAGCATCTGCTGCAACTGAGACACTGCATTGCCTTTTCGGTAACAATACTTGACTTCTGGTACTTTCCTACTGGAGGTGTTAGCAGCTCAGTGTTGACAGGATGTGGTGTGCAAACTGACTCAAAACAGGGGAGGGGGTGGACTGAGGGAAGTTTTCTTTAAGAAGGTTTGTAGTCATTTTGGGTTCATGTAATGTCCTTTCCCCAACCGTGTTCCCCGGCTGAGCGGAGCGAGGAGCTGTCACACAAAGCGTTATTTTTGTTACGCTTCGTGTGACAGCTCTCACAATATCAATGCAGTTTGCTTTGTGAGAAAACAGCCAGAAATGAGGCACCCGCCTAATGCAGATGTGTCCCTGAACAAAAACAGTGTTTTGACAGATTTTCTGGGCTGTGCACCTCTAGGTTTCCCAGGTGCCATTAGTTTCTTTTACATAATTCAGTTTTTTCCTGTGCTTGTCACATTGACATCTGTAACACGCAGCATTATGGATCTTTGTTTTTTAGTTATACCAAAGGGATAGATGCAAAAATAAGGACTTCACTTGACACTTGCCTTCAACAGTGGGTGCACAAAGACCAGGAAACTAACACCAGAGTCCAATTCAATTCAGTTTTATTTATAGAGCGCCAAATCAAAACAACAGTTGCCTCAAGGCACTTTATATTGTAAAGTAAAGACCCTGCAATAATACAAAGAAAACAGAGAAAACCCAACAATCATATGACCAACTATGAGTAAGTGTTTTGGCCTTAGTGGGAAGAATATTTGTTGAACTGATCATTTTCTTGTATTGCACAATGTTGCCCCTAGGCAACAAAAATATTTTGGGGAGGGGGTGTCTGAAATATAAAATTGGTTTTTGTCAATAAAATGGCCCAAAGCGAGTCAGTAAATGATGTTAAGTAATTTTTAGTATGTATTATTAAAATGTGTACAGTAGAGGGTTACATTCGATTCTAGGTTTAACAGGGAACGTGAACAATAAAGGGAGAATGAAGAAAAGACGTTATTGGGAGAAATATGCTCTCTCTTCCCAGTGTTGTCAGTACTCTAGCTGCAGCATTTTGGATCAACTGAAGGCTTTTCTGCGAGGTTTTAGGACATCCTAATAATAACGAATTACTATTTCATTTCATTTATTAATTCTAGTCCAGCCTATAAGTAATAAATGCATGAACAGGTTTTTAGTCATCACTCTGAGATAGGATGGTTCTCATTTTAGAGCTGTTGCACAAATGTAAAAAATCTGTCCTACATATTTGTTTAATATGGCCACTGAAGGACATATGCTTGTCAAAAAAGACTCCCTCACAGTGCTACTGGAGGCCATCAGTCCCTGCACCAGCCCTCAGCTGCTTGCCTGCAGATTGCCCTGAGGCTCCCTCCGTAGCCTCTTTCTATCAATTCTCTTTCTGCATCTACCTCTTTTTCTAGAGGAAGACAGAGCTAGTCCATATTTGGAACCCTGTGCTTCATCTGTAAGAAAAAGTATGTAAGGAGAGATTCATCAGGGCATGAATCAAAAGCTATTTAGTTAAAACCAAAAACTGTCATCAAAGACAAAGCTTTAGCTGCATTAACATATAGGAAGTTTTTATTACACTCAGCTATGCAATGACTGTGAATGCTTCTCCTCTTCTGTTTGTGTGTGACTAAATAGGACGAGATGAACCCACAGGCACACCTGTGAAAAAAAAACCCTCTGTGATATCTGACATGTTATCAGCTCTTCTTTTAGCTTTTCTTTTCTTTGGAGTAAGCTCCACTAGCATGTAGCTTGTCCCATGGCCTTATCAGATACTTTCACGCAGTCTAGAAAAGGGTTCGGCTCAGATTCAACAGTCTAAAGAGTAAGGCCAAGTTATATGCAGCTTCCTGTACCACCATGTTAGCATGAGTACGTTCAGGCTAAGGGCCTTTAACAACAGTTTCTCTTCTCCTTACATGGTGGTCCATACTAGTTATGGTTTACTATGCAACTGGGCAGCTGGTTACCTTAAACACAGGCCTTTAAGACATTTTTTTAGGATATAAAATTTGCCTCCATGTTGGTCAATGAGAGTCTACAAAGTATTTTTAGAGTAATGTGCTCATGATTTGTGTGTTGCAATAATAAATGCCAAGGCACATGTAGACCTGCCCCACAACACAACCTCATTAACATCCATCACCCATCCAACCATTATCTGCTGTGTATCTGGTCTGGTCACAGTTCACCTTCCTGGTCACCTCCTCCAGCTCCTTCAGGCAACACCAAGGCATTCCCAAGCCAGCGATATAATCTTCCCAGCATGTCCTGAGTATAGCACTTCTCCCAGTAGTACATGTTCAAAACACCCAGCAGGCTTCCTAGTCAGAGGCCTGAACCAGCTTAGCTGGCTTCTTTCTATGTAGAGGAGTAGCGGCTCTACTACGAAGCCTTTCTGAATGATCGAGCTCCTCGTTTTGTTCTTAAATGAAATAAAAGCCCAGCCTATCTGCTATCTCATAGGTGAGGTAAGGAATGTAAATAGGTTTTTTTCATGCTGAGTATTAATTGCTTTTTGTGCTGCTGTACAGTGCAGTGAAACAGCATTTGCCCCCCTATTTTTTTACATATTTGTCACAGTTTTGTCACACAAATTTTGAATATTAGGCGAAGATAAGCTGAATAAGTACTAAATGCAGTTTGTAAATGATGATTTCACTTAGTATAGAAACAAGTTATCCAAACCTTCTTGTTCTGCCATCCTTGGGAGCAAGAACTGCAATCAAGCGTTTGTGGTCATTTACAATCACGTCACTGTGGAGGGATTTTGTCCCACTCTGCTTTAAAGAATTGTTTAATTCAGCTACACTGGAGGATTTTCCAGCAAGAACCGTCTTTTTAATGTCATGCCAAAACATCTCAATCAGATTTACACTTGGTGTTGGTCACTCCAAAACCTTCATTTTGTCTTTGAGCCATTCTGACATGGACTTGGTCTACCCAAGTGAGCTTAATCTTCAGGATATGAACTGATGGTTGAACATGCTCCTTCAGGATTTTCTGGTAGAGAGCAGAATGGATGGTTCCATCAATTACAGCAAGTCGTCCTGAAACAGCAAAGCAGCCCGAGACCATTACATTACAACCGCCATGTTTGAGATGACCGTGGATGAATTTTAGCCCACTCTTCAATGCAGAACCTTTTTTAATTCAGCTACATTTGGAGGGTTTATGAGCATGAACAGCCTTTTTAAGGTCATGCCAAAGCATCTCAATCAAACTCAAGCCCAGACCATGTTTGACTGTTCCTATGATGTTCATTTTATGAAGTGTTGTGTTAGTTTTACTCCTGATGTAGTAGGACCTTTTCAAAAGAATCCAGCTTTTGTCTCGTCACTCCACAGAATATTTTCCCAAAAGTGTGACAAATGTGCAACAAATTAAGAAATGAGGAAGTGGCAAATTTGTTTTCCACTCCACGTTATACTATATATATATATATCTGACTTGGCCTATGGTATACATTTGATAGCTACTGTATATAGCATATAAAAGCACCACATTAACATGTTAACACATTTAATCATTCTGTGACTCATGAATCATTAATCATGCTTAGACGTAATTTACTGTAAAAGATTGGTTATTGGTGTGTTCCTATGAAAGAATTTCTAAAAAAAAAAAAAAAAATCTATAAAACACCAGAGACACAGCTCTCAGTTCAGATATAAAGACTTCTGTCTTTCTTCTGGTTTTCTTTAAAAACACTTGAAATGTTTTGTCTCGTGCTATAGAGCTAAAAGGACTTGATCTTACTACATATTCAATGGGAATTGGCTTGGGTCTCTGTCATGGAAAAAAGGGGCAGTACAGCAAGATGGGAACCTTCAATGCTCAGGCCAATCAACTGTCAAAGGCCCCTGGTGCTGTGGGAACATCTGCATCCTCTATTCTAACATGACATGCTTCTTTATATAGCAAGATGTAGCAGTGAAGGGCACATACATGGGTGTCTAGCTACTGCAGAACATGGAAATCAATGTTCAGGCTGGTCTGTCTACTGGAGTCCTCCCACAGCCAGTCTGCTGAGATTTTAAATTAATGCCCCGATGCTCCATTTTTCCAAATAGGCTCATCACTCCTCTGTGTTGTGTCTCCTTGTCATAAAATTATGAATGCCAAGCTAGCCAGAATACATACTTTATTAGGCAGAGAAAATACTGTCCAGAAGAAGTAAAACACCAAAAATAAATTTCTGTCATACATCGATTCCTCTCACACGTCATAGGAAGGTCACTAATACAACAAAGAGAAACAAATATTTCCAATCTGCACGTTCATGACCACCAAGAATAGGCTAGATGGTTGCTGTAGCACGGTCAAAAAGCGTGGCGCAGCTCGAGTGTTGTTAAAGCAGAGCATGATGGTGCTTTCGGTGAGCACATCTGAGGCAGCTTCCTTACTCTCCACACTATGAAAACACATACAAGAGAGGCAGGTGGCACTGTAGTGGGGAGGCAAATCAGCAAACATGAGGCATCAAGAGTGAATAACATCAGCCAAAAAATGGTGGCAAATACACAAAGAAGATCAGTTGCCTAAATGAAGATAAGCTTGAAGAGGTGCCTTGGCACAAGTGCAGCCTTAGGCGAGTGGTTAAAATCTCCTGAAAGAGTCAGAAAGGGAAGGCAGCGGGGGTCGGCTTTTGGCAGCTTGTTCTGACCGGAGCTCGCTGTACCAGTTTGGGGGTGATGGGACCTGTTCCACTTTTTTCCCACGTGAAACAGGAGCTGCTGTTATAAGATGGCAGAAAACCCTGCTGGGCTTATAACACACACACATCCAGCCCCTTCAGACTTTCAACATGACACAATCAGACTAGTACATAAACATGCAGACTTATACAAAGGCAGAACTTTACAAAGTCATGCAGATGGAATGTTTTGATATTTCTGACTCTTGATATATTTAACCGGCTGGCCTTAAGTCTATTTTTATATGAGGGGATTTATAGGGAACTACCATAACTCAGTCTAGGCCATCGTGATGGGCTGGAAAGTGTGCTCTTGGAAAACATAACCAAATCAGTCTCTTTATGAGGGAAAAAAAGAATGAAGGGACTTTACAAAGCTAAATATATCTACTTAAGAAATGTTTCCTTAGATCTCTTGAAATTCTCTATGAGAACCGGTCCGTGTCTTTTAAGCAGGTAGCCTGATCCACACTTAATTACACAAGAATCCTAAGCTTCTCAGCATTTTCTTTTAAAACTCAGGAAATAGCTTGAAGACTCTCTTTGTTTTATATGAGGCGTGTCGTGTCTTAAATGTAGTTTGGGAAATGTGCTTAATACGGCTTCATACAGCATACTGATGACAGCGAGAAATCTGACACCACTCTGTCTGATAAATATAAGGCAGGAAATGTTGATTTAAAAAATCCAGCCTGGCTTGGTCCAAAGGTGAGAAAAAGAAGCCTTCCAGCACCAATTAAAGCCTCACTAATGAACATGTTAAGGCAATATGTTAAATCCACTGATTCCAGGGGTACGAGGTAAGATAGGAGAGGACGTTTGTTAGCTTGACGCTCTTCTTACACACAGGACCATCTGAAAGAATCAAGCTATATCATCCAAGAGTTTAAGGAGTGCAGATAAAGATTAAAAATAAGTGGAAATAAATGTGCACTTTGCTGAATACATGCGTAACTATTGGAAACTGTTTGTTAAAAATAATGAGCAAACAGATGGGTACAAGTTAGGGATAGATGGAGGAAAACTGTAGATACAGCTGTGGAATAACTGGTAAAAAGAAAAAAATGGCTAAAGAGTGGAAATAAAGCGTTTATGTAATTATTACAGTTGAGGATAAATGTGACACAATATGCAAAATTCCTAAATTTTCATTTTTTACTTTTGTTTCCTAAAATTTGAAAATTTCGAGATTAACATGCAATAATCAGTTTGTATTTCTCTGTTTTCTATGACTTTATCTCTTTAACGTGTCAAACGCTTTGTGTCTTTTGAATGACTATGGTTCAGTAACCATTCAATTTAGGTAGATACACGGAAATTATTAAATCATTGAGGGAGCAGGGGTTTTCCCCTCGCAGGTGAAAGTTTTGCTGGAGGAGGATTTGGGGAAAAATATTATGCTGTTTAATTGCTGTTTATGCATCAGAAACTGTTCGGTATACTATTTTTTTGCATTTGCAGACAGTTAAGATAACAAACAATGGAAATACTGTTTTTGTGCACAACTGTGATTATTTGTTAGCAAAACTGATAAAATAAATTGATAATACCTGAAACAGATAAATAGCAATTCAAAGCCAATAGCTTTAAGTTATACATAACCAGGTAAAGTTACTGATATTAAATCAAATATTTAGGTAAAGAATTGAACTTAAAAAAACAACAACTTTAAAATAAACATTAACTTTATAAACTGAAAGTTAGGCTGGAAATAGCATGGAGTAAATATGATAACTTAAATCACGGACACGTGAATTAAAGTTGAAGCAACAGATAAATGTCTGCTGGCCACAGCTATGAATGAACAGTTGACACTGATGGCTAAAGATCATAGCTAAAGAGTGAAAACAGAGTAGCTAAAAGCTGCCAGACAAAATAATCAAAATAGGAGAAAGTTATACATAAAGAGCTAAAACTTGGAGTGGTTGAAAAACACAATCATTATTTTTGCCAAATTTATTGGGAAATGAAAGAATGGTTTGATGTTTCTAACGTCACAGATGGTGTAAGCGGTGGACGCCTGTCTAAGTGGATCAGTCTTAATAGCTTTTCAAATAAATGGTCAACACACATAGTTGATAAATACTAGAGTATGACTAATGTTTTGGATCAGTTGCTAAAGTATTTGCTAGAAGAAAGTTAGGTTGAATTAACAATCTGGTTTCATCTATAAAAAGCTTTAAAAAACTTTAATATGCTTATATTAGTTTTTATTTAGTTTTTTATTACGTACAACTTTTATTTTGTACATTTAGTGTTCGTATGGTCTTCAGAAATTAGCTGTAATATGTTAAATAGTGAGTTTTAATGGTGCTGATAGGCTAATGTTGTTGCTAAACGTTTCGAAATATAAAATTATTCCTTTAAGAACATCTTAAGTGAAGTTGTTTAACTTCACAATTAACTTCATTTTTTCATTCACTCTATGACTCAAAGTATTTTTACAGTTAAATCACAAAATATTCCACAAAAAATCACTTTAAGGATTATTATGGTTTTCCCTTTTAGTGCATTGGTGTATTTGAGCAGGTCAGCAGACGAATTGGTTTGAATATATAGTCTAATCACAAAGAATGATTAAACTTACAAGACTGGATTTCCCTCTGTTTACTAGACTAGTTTTATATAACGTGAGATAATCATGGTGAATGTTTTAATTCTACCAACACAAAGATGTAAACTCAACCACAACTGATGCGAATGCTCATCCATGTTCTGGCAGTGAGAGACACGGTGACCCCACAGCCCAGACATGAACAGCATCGTGCCGCATTGCTGCAACCGAATAGGCTTTAGGAGGACGTGGTCCCTGCTCCGGAGTCGATCTCACAGGTTCTCGTTGGTGTCGTGTTGGCACTGGCTGTCGGTCAAGGGGTTCAGGAAGGGCAGATCCTCGCCGCAGCCCTGCAGCTTCAGGACCCGACTGCTCAGATCCAAACAGCACTATGAGAGGAGTCACATGGGGAGACATAATTAGTACGCTAAATATTTAATCACAGGTGGCCAATCTTGTTTCACAACACACGTGAAAAGTTGGATAGTTTATTGCACTTAATACCTCCAGATATATTTCAATTTAATAATCTAAGATGGAAAATTGTCTGTACTCTTAAATTCTGCTAGAGTAGTTTTGCATGATTCATATCCAAAATAATCAGCTTCTGAAAAAAGCAGCTGTAGGTCCCTTCCCTCTCCCTATACGCCAGTTTTCTTCTGATCAGAAGCAAAGTCGGTGTTGTGGCTTCTGAACTCAAAGCCAGGGCTGTGAGTCTTAGAAACAAGCTTGGAACCCCATGGCAACCACTGGTCACTATGGAAACAATGCTTATTCCCCAACCAGTTGACAAGTCGTTGCTGGAGGTTGCCAGCAGTTGCTAGGTGAAGCTGGTCACAAAGAGATACAGAGTGCTGCATAAAAAGAAATCTCATTAATTGCTTTGGTTCCTAACAGAATGCTGCAGCCTGTAGGTCACATGGAAGATATGTGACCATCTCTAAAGTAAAAGTTGCACCTTTTTAATTGTCTTGGTTGCAGCAGCAGTAATCATAAGGTCTTCGACACAACACTGTTTTTGCAACCACTCGCCAACTGGTCAGGGAATATACTTTTTTCTCAAGTGACCAAGGCACAAAAAGGCAAAGTGGCATCATGTGACACCCCTTCGATGAGAATGTATTGGCAATTACTGGGTTCAACAAATGAAATTCAGCTGAAAGTAACCCAGGAAGCTGCATTTTGGGCACAGATTTACTCCATCTTTGATATGACTTAAGTCAAAAATAGACCTGGAGGGCAACCTGTGGAACGTTTCTGAAACAGGCCCCCGTATTTTCAGCATGATTATTTCCATTGAGTGGGTGGAGACAAATGTCAGGGGTGATTTGTGACATAAAGATAGCAGCAAGCGTGAAAGGAAAGGTTAACAAGCTGGTAGTGAGATCTGCATTAATCCAGTATCGAACTTTATACGGTGTAATGGGAATTATACCATAAATATCCATTCATTTTGTTGTGTTTTTATTGAGTAATTTGTTTCATTTTTCTGATTCTTCTGTTGTTGGTTGACCATAAAGCCTCCCTATCATTGAACTTGATTATGTCATAAAAGTTGAAAAATGAATGATAATGAATTGAAATTTAAAGCGCAGTCTAACACTTTCTCTATGAAAACAAAAAGACTTGGAACATTGATTTATGAACGCAGGGATGTTTTATTCTTCGTCCTTCTGTTAAGCAGCTTTTATATTACATTTTTGCTGGTGCAGGTCATTAATCACAATTACTAACACCGCTTATGAATATTTGCAGGGAAAGCTAAACACCGAAATGAGCTCGGAGCTAAAATGTTCATCTTACCTCACACAGTCCTTCAGGGCTGATCTACAAAATAGGAGCTCATGTTCTTTTCACACCCTGAAGTCTCACTTTAATTAGATCTTCCAGAAGATAACTAGTTGCCTGATTATGTAAAGCTGAAATAAACGAAGGACTGCTCTCAAACTGCCAGCTTGTCTTGTGATTGGATTTAGATGTCATATTTCAAATGTGAATATTAAACATTTCACATCACAGAATGTCCAGAATCTCCTCATGTGGGATTTATCTGCACAGCGGGCGCCCGATTAAAAGCTGTGCTATAAAAACAACACGACCCTTATGCAATAAGAACCGGCATATTTCCCCCTTACATGTTCAGTTCTATGAGAGTATTTCTTCTTCTCCCCTTTTTGGTTATTTAAAGCTTTGTGACCATTACAGCTTAGCTGAGTCTGTAAAAGGCCACACACACATCAAAAGATGCGATAAGGCTCACAAAATATGAGAAAATGAAATGAGGATCTTACTTTAAGTTCCAAAAGAGTCTGCAGACCCAGGCACAGCTCGAACGCCTCGTCCTCTGAAAGGGAGGAAAAGGAGGGGAGAGATAAGGGCAGAGGGAAGAGAAATACATAAACTGCATTTCAGTGCATTTTGTAAGCTGCTTCCATTTCTTAACACCTCATCTGAAAATGCATTCATTAGCCTGAATCCAGGTTAAGTCATCAGCACGCTCCATATTCATCCGTGTTAATGAGCGCTGTTAAGCATATGTACTTGTGTGGGTGGTGGCAACGTGAGAATTTAATGTGCACGAAGGACCCTGGATGCAGGTATAAGGGATTTAGAGTCGGTGGAGAAAGTCCACAAAAAATACAACAATAACAGCAAGCGGTCTTTTTTTTTGTTTGTGTGAGGACTGAATGTTTTCACAGCAAGGGAAAGGTAAGTAAAGTAAGGGCAATTGCATGACTTAAGGGCTCTAGATTAACTTTAAAGGAACATTTCAGCATTTAAAAAACAGATTATAGCTCCTTGCAGGGACTCAGATGAGAAGACTAATAGCTGGATGTTGGAAGCAGCATTTTTAGTTTTAGATTTAGCATAGCTCTGTCCAAAGGTAACAAAATCCACCTAAAACCCACCTCTGAACCTTTTATAAATAAATAAAAAATTAAATAAAAGTAACTACATTTTTTCCAACCAACCTTCATCAGTCCAATAAATGACGACAGGCAATATATTCACGCAGGTGACTCTTTGATGGGCAGAGCAACGTAATCATGCACGGACTGATTTGCGCATTTAGAACACAAACATGGAGGAACTTGTTCCCAAAGAAAATACAAAGAGGCTGCAATCCTATTTTTAATCTGAGCCATAATGAATTGAGAGCAGCAGTGCTCATTACTGTGACTGCCATCAAATCGTTTGCAGGTAAAAGGATCCAGGAAGCTGAAATGTGAAGGAAATACATTTTTTCTGGTACCAGGGTGCAAATGTAAACACCACAAGGTCTACCCATCTCGATTTATTTTAAAGTCTTGGTAACGTATTTATTTAATGTTATATATAATATAGCTATACTGTTAATGTTATATATAATATAGTTATGTAATATAATAATATATAAAGTTATAAAAGGCACGTAAAGCAATCACAATATTTTGCTTTTTTTCACACAACCCAGTAAAGCTCAGTAAATATTTATGGTTTTCAGGAAAATTCCTTTCACAGTCTTCACTTTTAAACCATTAAACCTGAATTTTGGCATTTCTATTCCTTAATCATCATATTTTTTTTAATCATCATATTTTTTTTAATCATCATATTTTTATTTACTTTTTCCTTTATACAAAATAGAACAAAAAAAGCAAAAATAAAAACAAAAAAACAAAACAAAAGACAAAAACATCTACCACAACAACAACAGAGAGAAAAAAACAAAAAACAAACAAACACAATAAGCAGTCTGAGACATGTAAACGGAAAACTAATACAGTATGTATAATTCGGTCTACCACTCATTTACACATTTGTCCCGACAAACTCAACCCACCATTGGAGTGGGGCTGCCGCTCTCACTATGGTTTTCTTCAGATCATCAGGTAAGTAATCCAATAGCGGGCGCCATATATCCAAAAAAATATCATCATTGCCACTTAATTTTGCACTCAGTCTTTCCATTGGTAAAACTCTAAAGATTTCTTTATACCACTGAGTTATTGTTATTGTTTTTTCATTAATCCAATTGAAAAGAATACATTCTCTTGCCAAAAACAATAATTTACATAGTAGTATACATTTGTTTTTATCTGGAAATTTGTTCTAATTGACAGCCCCAATAAATACTGAGCTGGATCTTTTTGTATTCTGCTTTTAAATATACCTTTTAATTCTTTTGTTACACAGAGCCAGAATTTTGAGATTTTTGAGCAAGTCCAAAGACAGTGCAAGTAGGACCCCGCCACAGATTTACATTTAATACATTGTGCAGACGTGCTCGGATCAATTTTATTCAGAAAAATAGGCGTTCTATACCGTCTATGTAAAATTTTATATTGTATTTCTTTAAATCTGTTACTAAGAAATAAAGAATGCACAGATTGTATACACTCACTCCAGGCATGATCATCACAATGACACTGGAGGTCACCCTCCCTAATCAGTTTTCCAATATTATGTTTGTTATAACCTTGTAGTGTATTGTAAAACTGTCTTATAGTACTATTATCTGCATTTAAGTGTAAAAAGAAATTTTCCATGGGTCCTAGTTGCATTGTATTGTGCAAAGTATCAAAACTTGAAGTAATTAGGTGACGAGCCTATAAAAATGCAAAAAAATCCATTTGATGTATTCCATATTTCTCTTGGACCTGCTCAAAAGACATACAAACATTCCCATTAAACAGATCACCCACCACACGTATTCCTGCACCAAACCATCTCTGAAATATTACACTTTTCATTCCCGGTGTAAAGTGCCGATTATTTATAAAAGGTGTTAGATAAGTATAGATCAGTATAGGATTACTTTCAGTGTATTTATTCATATCACGCCATGTGTTTAAGTAAGTATCAATCATTACTTTGTTATGTTTTTTAATATATTTACTCACTAGTTCGCTTAGGAGATTAAATGGCGAACATGTCCAAGCTTCAAGGGGATTCTCTGTCTCTTTTAGATATGCGTGGATCCATTCATGTATAACTCTACTATGACATGACCAGTTATACAGCAAAATGTTAGGAAAGGCAAGACCCCCTTTATCTTTGGGCAGCTGTAACGTTTTCATACATAATCTGGGTTTCTTACCCCTCCAAATAAACCTTGACAGATCTTTTCAATTTCTTTTACAATTTTTTTGGTAAGAGTTATTGGGAGCATTTGTAAGGGATATAAAAGCCGTGGCAACACGGCATTTCTATTCCTTAAAAACCACCGTGACAAAAGTTTAATAGATTTTGGTGAAATTTGCTCCACACTTACCTCCACCCACACACGTGAGACCTTCAGTTCTCATTTATTGGCATCAAGAGTTCATACACAGCTAATGCTATCCAGTTTAAGTCACCGGTGCACTTTAAAAATCTTGAAATGGTATTCATGATTTCACTGTGATATTTTTACCTTTAATGTAAGCTGAACACTGGACTCTCTGTGTTCCCAGCTGCAGCTGCAGCTCCGTCACCGAGCTGTTCACGTCGCATGGTGAACTGGCCTGTCTGGGCACCAGTCTAGCAACACACACACAGAGACACGCACACACACGACGACAATGAAGAATATCTTCATCAGTCCAAAAACAGCCTTCGTGGGTGTATCATGTCAGTACACCTACCTACAGCAGCTTCACCTCACAAAAACAAAGTGCATCTGATTTTTATTAAAATGTCAATCAAACGTTGGTGCTGCTGGGATTTTATTAACTAGGATCATAAAAAGCAACAGAGGAGCAGATTTTACTTTTAATCACCTACCTCCAGATTTAGATGTTAACAAATATACAACTAGCTGACTAGTGCTCAAAAATACAGCCACTGATGACTGCAAGCAGGAGCAACTATCCATCTCATAAACAAGAACAGCATGATGATGCCTGCTCAAACCAACACGGCTCTGCAGTATGAAATGAACGGCTTCCATTGGGTAACCGCTGCAGTGATTAATGTGTTTCTTCGGGCAACAGGTTATTAAACCCTCACTGATAGTGTGGTGAGTGGTGAGCTTCTCTTTTCTTAAACAACTGCACTGGAAAAGCTGTTACTCTGTTTAAGAAGGGTCAAAGTCTTGGCCCGCATCAAAAAGAAAAAGAATGAGGAGATTACAGAAACCACTAAAACTGTCCATGTTGTTATTAAAACCTGGAAGGACGGTGGTGAAACTTTGTTATCGAATTATATTTGTCGAGCGAGACAAACTGTAATCATGAGCTGATAATTTCATGTTAAAGGTGCTCACACATAGAACTCAACAGCCAAGTGCACAAGAGTGCTCTGCTTCACATTCACGTACTCGCAGACAAACACTTGTTTACGATTTGGAAAATGAAGTTTGCCAAATTAACGATCAAACGTTTTTTTCCTGTGTAGCAGTGGAAGTACTGAAAGCTATCACTGAATAGCTTTCAGTGATAGCTATTCAGTTTTTAATGCTGAAAAAACATTTTCAAATCGAGAGGATTCAGAGGGAGGTTCTGTAGCCTCTGCACTCCTTCAGCCTGTTGTACAATATCAGCAATACTTTTGACACAAATATAATTCCAATACATAAAATCAAGAGAAGCACTAACAGTTGTGTTTAAGAGTGAATGTAAGAGGATTTCCACATGTGTAATGCAAAGACAAGTCAGAGGACTGGGACTAAAATATGTAGCCTTAAGAAAACCGCTCATCAGTGAGGCTAATCAGAAAAAAAAGGCTTCAGATTCTTAGGGAACATAACTTTTACCCTGTTCCAGAGTGATTGGCTCATCAGGGAAAGAAGAGAAGTCGATGACATGATGCTCCCATCATGCCTAGTGCTTAATGAACAAGCCTGTGGGAGCAGTGTTATGATCTGAGGTTGCTTCAGTTGATCAGGTTTAGGTTCAGCGCTCTAACTACCTGAATAAATGTATGACCATGTTCTTCCATCAACTGATTTTTTTTCTTCCCTTATTCCTATAACAATGCAAGAATTCACCTGGCTCCAATTATGAATGAGTAGTTCAGGGAGCACTGGACCATAACCTCACTGAGTCTTTGGGATGGAGAAGTCTTTGCATTGAGGTCCAACTCGCCCATTATTAATGCAAGAGCTTGGTAAAAAAAAATTAATTAAACTCTGACAGAAATAAATGTTGCGACATTGAAAAGGCCCATTAAAGCAATGCCATGGAGAATTACGCCGTCGTTAAAGCTAAAGATGGCCCAACAAAAGAATATGAGTATGTGCTTTTTGTTTTTTGTTTTTTTAAACGGGCACTGTCTCTCAGCGCTAACCACATTCTACACAGGCATGCGGGTATTAACCTGAACTTTATCCACATTTGGCAAAATCATGGTGTAAATAGCTGCACAATATAGGGATAAAATGTAACTTTGTCATAGAACTGTCTCCTGATCACATCTTTAACAATCTGGAGAAACTTATGAGCTTTATGTTGTCATTCAGATTTCTCTTTAAAGCTCATTTATTTAAATCCACTTCTTCTGTGAAGTGTCCTTTCTTCTATCCTTGATTACTTTTTTAATCACTTCAGTATTTGTACTGAGCTGATGTGTTTCTCAGAATAAATTAAGATGCTAATATTAGGTGCATGTGCAGTGAGTGTATAGAGCCGGGTGTTTCTTACCCCAGCCTCTGACAGCAGGAGGTGGAGATGTGGTTGTGTTGGCTGCCGGTGTTGATGGATGCCTTGACTTCAGTCTCGCAGCACTGTGGGGAGACAGAGGGGTGATTTTTGGTGTCACAGTGTTATTTTTTACTGCTTCATTTTGGGACCAGTGCATGCAAGGAAACCAGCCAGCCACATGAACAGCACATTAGCACATTAACTATGGAGAGCGTATAAAGAACGCTGATCTCTCCTGTTTTAAATAAATCTTTTTGGCTGCCTTATGCTCACGACTGCCAAACTGAAAAAATACTTTCAACTCTCAATCAGGTTGGGTTGTGCAAACAAAACAAATATCCCAGTAGTGGAGTATTTCTAACTCGACTCTTGTTTTTTGCTATTTTGTCTGCTTAGCTTGATTTGTACTGACTCTCCGTTGCTGCAGGTGTTTAGCTTTTTCATAAAGTTAAAAATAAACCACCCAGATTATTCTTCATTACCTCCATTACAGGTCTTGAGGTGTTAACCATTAGCTCTATATTAGACTCAAATTGCTGACAAAAGATCTCGGTTCCTCAGTTTGGACAATGATTTTTTTAGAAACATGCATGGAGTGCAGATTTAACACATTGGCCAAGCAACTCTCTGTGTGGAGTGCAAAGTATGTGATGTGGGGGAAAATATAGAGTTCACAAACTAATATCCTTCAAGTTAGAACAACAATATGAAAATAATAATTATTAAAATAATTATTCATTTTAATATCATAATTCTTTTTGTTCTCAGAATTCCAAAAAACAAGTCATGGCCCCCAGTTTTTTTTCCTAGGGGCCCTAAATTTTTTTCAGTACATATGCCACTTTAAAAGCACATGGACCCACCAAAGTCAGAAGGACAATTTCCCAATTTGGGAAATAGGATCATTTGATTAGAATTTGAACCTAACTGCTCCAGCTGTTGCGCCAATTCTTTAAGATGGTTAAAAAATATAGTGTTGTTCTATTGTTTAAGTTACTCTATATGGACAAAAGTACTGGGTCTCCTATACATTGCACCTGCATACGCTGCCTTACAATGGAAACCTATGTCAAGACGCTGCCAGCACAATTCTTTATGCTGATATTAATGCCACAGAAAGTTTGCAGTTACTGAGTAGGCAGAATGCGGGTGGCTTTTATACACTGTGTGCACCTCAACACTGTGAAACACCTTACTGTACATGATCTACTGATTAATTACTGAGGTGCTACTTTGCAACAATACCATTTAAAGTTGATGGTGGAATATCCAGCAGGGAAGAAATGTCACAAACTTACTTTTTGCAATGGTGTAATAAGCCAGCAGTTAAAAAGGCTACTGTAACTTAACAGTAGCTAGCTTAGCAGCTTGGGTCAGCTAACACATCAGAAGCTTCTACGCATAAATGTTTATACATGCAAGAATAAAATAAGAAAAATATCATGTTATTATGTGCCCAACAAAAATGCAAATGAGTGAATTCCCAATGTATCAATATAGTCTTTTAATCATCAAACTTTTGTCCTGAAAGTACATGGTACATGCTAATGTGAGGTTTGCCCTAATCAACATTGACAGCCTGTTTTATCTCATATTTTCTCAGCTGCTTGTAGTCCACTTTAAGCACTTTTTTTGTATTATCTTGTACTATTTATGCTAACCTAACTCGCCTGGCGATAGATTTATATTATTACATAGATTTATATGAACAAAGTTGCATCCTATACCCACCAAAAAGGGCATTTAAGTATATTTCCTTATCTGATTTTAAATCCAGTTTTACAGTAGCAATGCAAGCAGGCGTCTTTTGGCCCAATTTCCACTGACATTTTTACTTTTCTTTATCTCATGGGTGCTCTGCTGCCTGCAGGGCACCTCATGTCACAAAGACATGTTTCATCCTTTGCCAGCAGATTGTAATGGTTTATTGGAACTGCTGTCTGCAAAGGCCTCTTCCCATTCAGCATCCTCTGAGGTGATTTCATGCAACATGTCCATGTTTGTGGAAAGAAAGCAAAGTACTGGAATAATGAGGTAATGTACATACAGAACATATGGCAGCTCTGCATGCATGTCAGAAGCAGTGTGCTGGCACCACCCCCATAAGTGAGCATCAGGCTCTTTTTAGGTATTTTCCACCATAAGATGCAGATTCTCGGTGTATTTATAAACAGATTTACTTACAGATCAAGTAAAGCTTCAGTAGCAGAATCTTTGGGTAATTTCCAGTAAGTAATCATCAACAATCTGAAATATAGTCATCTGTTTCATCTCTCTTACAAATCTAGGACAGTTAGCTTGACAAAATAAGGCATTTAAAAACACTCGAATGGTTAGTTTATATAATTTGCTGATGTTTTACATAAAAGTACAACTAAAAATTCTCAGTACGAGTTGACAGAAACACAAAATCCTGCATTTTTTTAAATTGTATCTTAGAAATAAGGAGTCAGTATTTTAATGTCATGAAAAGAGAGTCTTTCTGTTTCAGATATTGGACATATTTTCAAACATCTAGTGTCTGCTTGTCCTTCTCTCCTCGTTATCTCCTTTATAAGTCAATACCTTATCTACTTGACCCGAGGATATTCCCCCACTTGGAAGTAAACACGTTGTTTTTCCATTTACCTTGTTTTGATCCGTCTATGCAGTCTATGCAGACTGAGCTGACTGAGCCAGGCTTCTTTGTCCTCACTGGCTTATCAGCAGACCCACAAACCTGCTCTTTTGTCTCAGGCCGGTGGTGCAATAATCCCTCCCCATCCCTGAGGTTTAAAAATAGCAGCCAAACAAGTAACTAAAGAACACTTTGCATTTAATAAGTTGATGATAAAACCCAGCAAACGCACACTGAGTAATGGGTGAAAACGCTGAATCCACTGAAAAAGTGGACTTAGAGAAACTGTGTGATATTCTCACGCAGGGATGAGAAGCTGTTTGATCTCTGTATTGATTTCTTTCAAAGGATAAAATACAGTTATGTCCTTGGTGTTATGCATGGCCGCAATTCTCCAAAATTCAAATTCAAAAGGGCAAAATTTTATAGTATCAAGCCAACGGTTATAGACAAAGTATGAAATATTCTGCCACATGTGTTACTACAATTAAACTATAAAGAACAATAAATCCCGTAGTGTGTTACTGTGCCTTTAAGTTGTTTCCAGTCTATGATGGCTATGGCACTCAAGCTAGAAGACACTGTAAAAGTTTTGAGAAGCCGCTCTTTCTTTATGTTTTGCTTCTAAACGAGCCAGACTTTCTTGTAATTTCTTTAAGTGGTCTTGAGCAACAGTTCTTCAGGCTTTCTCAGGGTCTTTCACTAATTTTCAGTCCAGTCCTTGTACCTGACCAGATTAATTTTACTTGGTCTAAAAAAGAATTTTAAAAAATGCATCTAACTCAAGGTAAACCACTGTTGTGTATACATGTATATATATATAACAAAAAACGTGTCTATTTTAAGTTTTGATCATTTTTCAAAGGATCCCAAACACACTGCCAATGCAGTAAAAACAAACATGGATAGAAAAAAACACAATGGAACAAAGTCACGGATTAACCTCAATCAGAGCGTCGTCCTTGGTATTATTGAAGCAGTGTGGGATTATCTGAAGTCATAGCCTGGAGAACTATAACTGAAGACCACTTAAAAAATGAGAGTAAAGCTGCCTGAAAGAGTTCAGGCTGAAGAATAAAGGTGGTTTAACCAAAATATTGACTTTCAAACTCATTATATTGGCACTAACTCGTTTGTCTTGTACTCTATGTTTCCATTTTTGTTTGCACATTTCAAAGAAATCCCTGAACGCATTTCCAATTTTTCTGGCAAAATACAAAGAAATGAGGGACGGCTCAAGACTAGTGTTAACTGCACAGTACACAGACTCATCTGTATCCAGATGTGAGTGATTCATAGTGGGAGGGTAATTTCTTATCCTGTCCTTGAGGCTTTTGAAAATTTCGAGTTTGCTGGTTTATTGTTCATCGCTTAGTTTACATGTGAATTTTAAACACAAAGAAAGATGAGAGGTGAGTTTTTGAATACACAGCAATGGGTTGTCAAGAATACCACCAAATCAATCATTGGGTATTAAACTGGATGAAATAGCTAAGTCCTGTAATTGCAATGAAACAACACCTAAAGGGTTTTGATGCAGTAGTAAGAGATGCAATTAAAGTCTCATTTGTTTTTTGATTAACTTACAGACTAAATGAATCATTTTGCCTGTGAAATGCCTGCACCTGCTTATCATTTTTGTCTGCAGGGTCAGTTCAAGCAGATATTCTGAAAAGTCAGTATTACTAATTCTATGAAACCTTTCTGCAGATATTTGTCCTTATATGTGATCAGTGACCCCAGACTACCAGACTACAGTTAATCCCTAATATGTTTTAGAAAATATATCTAAGAAAAGTGTGGATACAAAGTTGTATTTATATTCTATCACATGAAATAGAAAATAAACAATCTGTGCTGATGTTCATGGACCAAGAAGTGCAAATTGTTTCAATAAACCTGACACTGAAGTTCTAATGCCTGATCTTAAAAAGTAATGTATTATTATTATTTTAAAAGGTATTAAAAATAATAGAAATGAAGTGTGATAATGTGTAGGACCTAACTTGGGTGAGTGAGGGAGGTATAGGGGTAAATACTGGTTTCAGCAAATATTCTTTGACTGCTGCTCGTGTGTGTCAAATACTGTAGCTTTGTAGTGATCATGAATCTTCAAAGAGGACTGATGTCTTGGTAATTTGGGGCTTTTAATGATTTCTTTGAACTGTTCTTTATCCAGGGTGAAATCATTGTACAGCATAGATCTTTAATGGCTTCAAAAAAGTAGAGTTACTAGCACAACTTTGAATTTATATTAGACTTTCTCTCATTCACACAGGGTCAAAAGTATACAAATATATACATTTACTTGCTTAAATCTCTTAATAAGTGGTGGTGAAGGTTCAACAGTGTCTTTTAACTTGACAAGGCCAATGTCTGTTAACGTCTTCTTACTGATTACAATTGACTACAGCTGATAGTTTCTCTTTGCCAGCATAAAAAGTATTTGTTTGACAGCCCTCATTGGATTGACCAATACTCAGTACAATGGACAACTCCAAGGAACTCAGTGAAGATCTAAGAAGGAGAATTTACATAAGCTAAGATGGTCTCAGGAAGCCATTTGTAAACAACTGTAGATTTCAAGTGTACAGTACAAGTCATTCAGGTTTGCAGGTCCCTGCTCCAAAATCAACACATTCAAGCTTTACTGAAATGTGCTGCAGCCCATTTGGACAAGCAAAATACCTTCTGGAGAAAAGTCTTATTGTTAGAGTAATGGTGAGGCTTTCAAACCTAAAAACAGCAGAACAACTATCATGCATGGTAGTGGTAGCATCATACTTGACATCTCTCGTTCTAGTCTCTTTCAGTACTTTTGGATCAACTGTAAGTTTTTCAGGGAGTTATTAAGACATGTCGATATACAGTTTTCAAGCCTGAAAGTAAATAAGATGTTAGGATTAATAGGGCCGAGTGCAGCAAACTCAGTTTTATCTGAATTCAGAAACAGGAAATTAGACGCCATCCAGCCCTTTATGTCTTTAAGACATTCCTGGAGTTTAACTAATCGGTGTGTGTCATCTGGCTCCATGGATAAATGGGTATCATCTGCATAGCAATGAAAATGTATGCTGTGCCTTCTAATAATAATGTCCATGATGAGTTGATGCTAAATTCTGTCCACAGCTGTACGTAATAACATGAGATGTAGTTATTTAAAAATGATGTCCTTGCAGATAAATGCACATCCTATTTGCAGTAATCTGTCATGTGAACACCAAATACTGATTAGCGAAAGCTTCTCGTCCAGTGAGTTAAAATCTAATAGTATCTAGCTTATCAACTATGTTAATGATGTAGGTAGTATTAGACCTAGTTTTGCTTATTTTATTAGGTCTTTCCTGTATTTCAGTGAAAGTGACTGTTGTTCAAGATTGCTCAACACAATGACCTCAGTTTTCCTCCTGAAAGCACTGTAGACCCACCATTGAACCACTGAAATATGAGAGTATAAATGAAACAGTGCCATAGGCTCTTTGATGACTCAATCTAGGACTACAAATTATGCTTTACAAGGGCCAGTGTTGGGTACAAGTAGAAAAACTAGCCCCCAGGTGGAGAGTTTCTCACCATGTTGGTTAAACACAAGTTTGGGTAACCTGCTGCTGAAGATTTTATACCATTTTTTGTCTTTCTCTCCATCATTTTATCCTCCGCACTTTTAAGCCCCTGCACACTTTTTCTTTTATATGCTGAATCTGTTTTGGGCGCATACAGATGTGTTGACCAGGTTGGACTTATTTAATCACTGTGACTCAGTGGTGTCTGTAGTCCTGCAGAGCTCTTGATATGTTGTAAAGAGAAAGTAAATGAAGGCTTTGAGTGTGGTCTTTGTCTCCTCTTTTGTTTTCAGTTTGTTTCAGCAGAGCACCGAATGTGGGTGAGCGTAGACTGAGTACGCAGGGTTCAGTACCTTGCACTGAATGATGAGAGCAGTTAGGACAGGCGAGCTCTCCCCGCCCTCAGGCTTCTCAGCTGTCTGTCTGGCTCCGGCCTCGCTGCTGTCGTCCTCCTCATCCGACCGTAGACTCCTTTCGCTTTCCTCCAAAGACTCCCTCTCCTCTGTGGAGTCGTCAGCCGTGCTCTCGCTCCTCTCCTCGGTGTCAGCAGGTCCGTCCTTGGTGTCGGCCAGTGGGGAGCGAACCCTGGAGCTGAGGTCCCGGCCCTCACCTCTGAGTCGCGTGATGTTTCCCTCCAGCAGGCGACGCTGCACAATGCTGTGAGGTTGCTAGAAAGAAATGCAGAGGACAGATAGGTCTTAGACAGGAGTTTTTCTCAGTACAGACTTTTTGAAAATTGCACATAGTGTGTAGTGTGCATATAAGGAGAAAGAAAAACACCCTGTAACTCTACAAATAAATTAGTCAGACCACTGTGTACTGAGCGTTAGTGCAAACAGCTAGTATATAATGTATGTAGTTTAAAATATATGTGTTAGGAAAAAATAGGCCTGCTTCCTGCTTAGGCAAGAAGAAAAGAACAAGATGAGCCAGAGATGTACAGCTGCTGATGTGTGAATTAGTATATATATGAGGTGTTGTTCAGATCAGAAACTGAAACACGACTTCTTGTGATGCCTCCAGAAAAGAGCCAAGAAAGAGATCACTTGTGCATATGAAACAGGCTGCTTTTTAATATTTTGCATTGCAAATGAGTAATTTATGCTCATGAAATGAATCACTTTTGCCCACTGATAGTTCATCCAAATATTTCACATGCATGTTTGCATACTGATGGTTCACACTCTGGAACCTTTGTTAAAACAGAGCTCAGATTTCATAACCACAACCCAAAAAATCCCACAATGTACATCAGAATGCAGCATGCAAAAACAGTTTCATTTCTGGTTAATCAGTGCAATCAGTGTCAATATCAAAACTAAATGAAAGTTATACTGTTGATATCTGACTTATTTTAACTTCCTTGAGAAGTGCACGCAGCTAATATCTACGTCATCTACAAGCATCACCGTTTACAGCTGACTGTCCTCATACTTCATAGTTACAATGCAGAGGGACACATGCTGAAAACAGCTCACCTCTATCTTTAAGCTTTAAATATATGAGTTATAAAATAATCCAACTCTCATGGTTTGGCCCACATGGATATAACATGAAGGGGTTTTGTTCCCAGTAGATGAGTCACAGGAATAATTTTTAAGTCCGGTATTATCAGACTTTACCTGTGGACTTTTATTGATCCACTATTTCTTTTGTTATGAATGTTGATTAAAAGCAGCACCGCATTAAAAACAGTCATGGAAATAACTGCATGACCTCAAGAACACTTCCAGAAATCACTGTGCCATCCACAAAAAGGTTAACCCTCAGAGGCTTAAGAACTCAACCCTAACCCAAATTTTAAAAAGGAAAACAGACTTCATTTGGAAAATGAAGTCCTTTTGAATCTG